TATAACACTCATCTTCAGGTACTATGGATGTTAGAGTTAGAACACAGTCTGCCAAAAGACAGCTTTTTCACTTTCATTTATTTTCCTTGTGATTTTAAATTTGAGAAAGTTCAAACTTGTAGATATTTTCTTTCCGATGCATTTGTTCTAATGCACTTTATAATTTTTAATTTTAAAGATATGTAGTAATTTTTATAATTGAGGATGATATAAAAGACAAAAACATTTCTTAACAAAAATGTAATTTGGTTTCCAGAATTAAGCACTTTTTTCTCATCTTTTTGTTGTTTAAGTTGTGCATAAAAACTAGTTTTATCTGCAGCTGGCTTTATTTTGAAATATTTATGAATGTTAAAAAATGTAGTTTAATTTGTTTTAGCAATCATTTTTTTCATCAAATTTTATCTAAATTTGTATTTCCTAATGTGGTCTGTGATTCAATATTGATCTGTGGAAAAAATCTGTTTGCAGAAAACTTAAATATGAAATAGCAAAAAGTAATGAATTTCTAATAAAATAATTTTATCATTAAAACTTATTATTTATATAAAATTCTTTATTGTGTAACAGTATGCTAGAGTCTTGAACTTGGTAAGACACCAGTTATAATGAAAATTACCATATTTTACAGCATATTTATATTTGAGAGGGATCTCAAGAAATACTGAAAACTATCAATTTTTAGCTGAAAAAGTTTTGGAAAAGTCTTATTTAGATTATTTTTAACTTAGCAAAATTGTTATACAGGTGTACCTTGCTTTAGTTGTCTGCAACGTCTTCTCATGTACAGCACCCAGGTACTTTCCAGAATTCCACATTACACCATAAATAAAAATATAGGAGTTACAAAGTATATATGAAAAAGCTATTAATTTACTGTTTTATTTGTGATAAAAAATATTTTTATAATTGATTTTTCTTGTTTTTTTAACAACCCAGAAACCACCCTTATCTGGAACATAACTTGTATTAGGAAGTTATTCCTGTAATTTTTCATATTAATTGCAAAATACTCTATTTTTGGTCAGAAACAACAACTTTAATAAGTGACTATTTCCACGAATATATCTGGTCTAAACTCTTGTTCAAACCCACTTCGGGCACTTTTTCCATCCTTGAAATTAGGTGCAGGATGCCAGTGTTAATGAATTAGTCTAGCAACAAAGGAAATTTATTTCAGTTTGATAAAAATTGTCCAAAAATGAAAGAAATGGAAAGTACTGCTGTTAGAAGATAGTGTTAAACCATTTTCATTTTCTCTGATAACTTTATCACAACAGCAATTAGCGGCAAGTTTATTTGTGGGGAAAATGCAATTTATTTTACCATAGACCTACTGTGTTTTTCTTAGGAGTATAAAATATTGTACATGATACAATTAATCAGCTGATCTCATCATTTGATAAATTTTATTTTTTTGAAGCTCATGTACAGTACATGTGCGATAAATAGTTTCTGTATCAACTTACCTTATTTCTGTGATATTTCTAGAAAAATAATATCCAAGTCATTTTTCATGCAAAATATTCAAAAAACCATAAATGCATTATTGCAAAAATCAGTTTTACAGGCAACCTTTCTTTTTCGATTTCGTGATTGTTGTTGATGCGATGAAATGGTATTATGAGAAGAAATAATAAAATCGTTTTATTATTAATTAATAATTTTTTATTGTACTTAAGAAAATATTAAATATTTAAAAAATACAGTATTTTTAAAGTTAAAGTAAGATTAAAGGAAACCAAAACCAAAGTGGTGAAGAGATATACTACATGCTTCTATATCAATGGCATAATACACATAACTGAGTAGCGAACAAAGAGAACCAAGTTGAATTAATTAAGTCGGAAAAAAGAAAGTGTGTATTATAATCAAGAAAATGCAAATACTGTATTAATCTTTAAAATACTGGTATATAATCTGTCTTATAAAATCATGATGACTTCTGTTAATCATGTTACCTGATAAGAATAAAATACAGTATCAATATAGCTGTATTATTGAAAAAATTCACTTATTTATGCTCACCTCGAGTTTTGCTTAGTAGATATTGGCTTTTAGCCATATCTGTGTGCAAAATATGTGTGGAAATAGTGTTACAGCACCACTGACTAAAAGACCACTTTTTGAAGGAATTATGGGTGGTTGCCATAGACAGGTTCTACTGTGTATGAGTCGTGTCACAGCGTAGCCAAAGCACGATGTGTAGTAGGCATGCTCTGTTGAAACATTCGTGTCACTGTCACAAGGCAAAGGTAATTGTACATAGATACTTCCTAATGGTGTCTTGAATGTTTCCTGAATCTAGTGCCCATTAGGAAATGCCTATATATAGTACAACTGTCTTGGCAGTCTGTTTTGTGACAATGACATGGATGATTCTTTCAATAGAGCATGTGTTTGCCTACTACATCGTGTTTCAGTTATGACACAACTCAAATATTTGGAAAGTCAAAATTGATAAGACTACTAAAAAGAGATCCATTATTCCACAAAAGAATGTGTGGAGGTCTACAAAATACCTCCACACATTAAGTTCTACAATGTGTAAGTTTGCATATATGGGGCCACTTCCAGAATGCTTGAAAGTAGGTTGACAGTACTGAGATGATATGTTGCTTAGTAGATGAAATATGAACTAGCTAGGAACATATTAGAATATGGTTTTGAGCCATTATGGGCAGACACCAGTCTAATTCATCATGGACCATGAACTGGATCTAATTATGTAAGACACCAGAATAACCAAAAATCCTGTTATTGCCACACTTGTGGTATCGGTCATTCACATACCAACAAAGCTCTTACATTACTTCTGTGGTATGTTGGTAAAACATTTAATATATTATTGATTTTTGGTTATTCTGTGTCTTAATGTAAAAATTCCTTTAATAATTCAGTGTAAGCTAAATAGGTGTTGTTTTTAATAGATATTTCAAATTAAGCATTCTATTCTTAAATGCATTTAAAATTAAAACAAAAAAGACATTAATTTGATTATAGGTTATTCTGTTCTGTTATTTAAGTGTTCTTTAAAAAAAGTAATAAAATTTCTAAGTTAATGTATTTCTCACGATATATTAAGCATTCCAAAAATAATTTATTAAAAATTAGTTTCCCTAATCAATACTTGATTTATATTATTTTATTTTAATCAAATTTATAGAATTACTTTCTTGTAATTAGATTTAATATTTGATTTTTCTTTCAGGAAACTTTTTGTTGGTGGATTAAGTTGGGAGACAACACAAGGTCAGAATGAATGTTTTTAAAAATTCTTTTAATGATTATTAAAAATACATATTTTTACAAAATTTAAGAACTGTTTGCTATTTAAAAATTTAGATGTTTAATTAGATTAAACACATTTTTTCAAAAATTTTCATTTATAAGGATATTACAATAGTTGCTATTAACAATGAAAAATTTGACTGATTTAACAATTGCTTAATAATAGTGGTATCTAGGGTTTTTTCAATGGGATCCTAGCTGTTTTTTAACCCAGGAAATCCCATAAATTTCTTAAAAATGCCTTTTTTTCTTATTTTGTGTTAAAGTTGAGGAAATTTTGTAAATAGAAAGTATAATTATTAACCCATAAACTTTCAGAATACATTTGTATTTATTAATTTTAAGCCTGCTTATTAGTTTTTAAATTTTTGCTTCTTGTGACAGGACTCTGAAAATTCTTTACTTGTCAGAACCTGTAATATCTGGAATAATTGTGCTTTTGCTGTCTTAATTTTTAATTAACCATGCCCAGTAGCTTCAATAACTTCATTATGCCAGATTGTGCAAATTGGGCAAGGATACAAACGAGTATGCAAGTATGAAGTTTTTCTTCATAAACCCGATTATTAAAGCCAAACGAACTGCTGAATTATTGGACTGTAAGCTCGATGCCACTATTAAAGCAACCTAGGTAGGCAAATCAAGAAAACTAGAAGGCAAAAGAAATGCTGTAATGCATCTCAAAAATGAACTAGAAATTTTCCAGACTGCAAATGAAAAAAACAAATCTGTCTTCTTTTAAATGCATTAAAGAAAATTCCACCCACATCAGTTGAATCAAAAAGGGCATTCTTGTTAGCAGAACTTTTCTTTAGTAAAACAAGAATCAAATTGAGTGATTGGAGTATTGACCTCTTTGCTTTTTTAAAATGTTGTTATAAAAGTTTGCAATAATATTTTGTATTGTTTTATTTAAATAACAAAAATTACCTTCTAAGTTAGACATTTGATCTAAGTTCATTTTTTTTCTTTAAATTTTCAACTCGATTCAAAGGCATTTTTGTTGTAAGCAGTTTCCAACAAACTTAACTTTTTCTATTTGTGAAAATTTCTATGTAACTCAACAGTAATTTTTTATACATATTTTACACAGCATTATTATTATTATTGGTTTGGAGATTGCAGGATGTATTAAGTTACTTAAAATGAAAAATAATTATATCCCAAGACAAGCAAAAGGCCGGGAAATGATAAGCCCTAGTGGCATCTCATAGTTTGAATGTTCCAGAATTTTAATGTTAAATTTGAGAGAAATTTGACCTGAATTTTAAGAGATTCTTTTACATTTGAACTGAGCATACAGTGAAAAAATGCACTTGCTAAATAAATAGCATCTGTTGTGTGCCCAGGTTGTCTCTCACTTGTGCTATAAAAGCATGTCATATTACTTGTGTTTGGTTTTATATATATCATTCTTGCCTATTAACTGTGGCATTCAAGAAGAGTGTGGAAGCAACAAAGCCTAAGAGAAAAGTTGTAGTACAGTAGAGCGTCAATTATCCAAATGCCGATCAACTGAAACGTCGGTTAACCAAAAGCATTTCAGTTGGACTGTGTCATGCTGAATCGAATGTTTTTGATACTAGATTAACTTCTAAAGGATACTTTTTTGTTTTTATATTTTTCAATATATTTATTTTGTTTGTACAAAATAAAGAAATAATNTAATCGTTACATTTTTCTCCCGTCCACTAGAGGATGCTTTCGGCCCATGTTCTACGTATTGGCGGCCCCGTAATCTAGATTGGAGACGTCCCGGAATCCATTTCTGTTGTACCAACTACAAATTGTATAAAAAGACCGTCTTCGAACATTTTGTTTCTTTCATTTTATTAATTTTATTTAAAAAATATAAGTGACAATGTCTCAAGGAGGGGAGGAAGTAGGGTAAGTAATAACTATGCTTTGTGTAAAAAATACCTTAAACCGCAGCCAACTCTTTGTTCAAGATGGCGGCTCAGTTTTTAAAATTTTTGTTACAGGTTAATTAACTATCCGAATTAAAACTTAGGACTCTTTTAAACATTTAACATCCTTTTATTTCATTTAATTGTTTTATCGTAATGAATTTTATATATAAATCGTATCTTAAACATTTGTCTTGACCTTAATGGCGTTTTGTACGAAGTCTTCCGTTTATTGAGGAATTTGTATGATTGTTCGTTAATAATTAATTGAGATAATTAATTAGATAAGATGCTTTATATTTATTGTTAAATTGTTAGAGATGGTTTCCTGACCACGTGATTTTCTGTATAAAAATCCGGTAAAAGTTTTTAGAAATGTAATCATTGATCCGTTAAAATTGGGTAAGATGTGAACTTTGAATGGAGTTACCACCACTTAAACTGTAGATCTGTATGAGCGAAAAAGTCAAATGAACCATACCCGTATGTGCGACCCTTTGCGAGACATTTTCCTTCAAAGGTCTGTTTTTACTGTGTACCGGTATACTGCCTATTCTCTGCGTGCGTTGGTCAAAGCAACCAATGGTGAGTCTTGACCAATGCTCTGTACATTGTGCACTGAGGTTCAAGTGATAGCAGGTGCTTTGGTGCTTGCTAGCACACTATAATTATAACATAGAGCACTTTGCAAACGGTCAAGTGGGTTACCCAAAGCCTGCATAGTCGTGTGGTCTATCTGCAAATTTTCGGAATGTTTTTTTTTTTTTTAATTCTGCCACATGACGGCACGTTATGGTAGCCATTAAGATACTGATAGTTTTTAGTTTTTCATCGGTGACATGTCTTATAAAACCAATTCAGATAGATACTGTGCAGTGGTTGTCTGCCATAATAACCAGTGTTCTTTATAAGTGATTTGTATGCTGTGTGCAATATATACAAAAACATGATGCATTGACATTGTCCGTGTATTCGATCTTTCCGGTTACACTTGTTTTCGTGTGATGAAAATAAAAGGGCATGGGTACCAGCAGTGCATGTAAATCCAGCTAGATAAATAATTGCCATCATCACATCAATACACACAAATCCATACAGAATGATTACTTGCAGATAGGGTTTGTAATGGTTCTACATTTGTTTTAAGCTGTGGTCGCACAGATGACCGCAACTACAACTATGTGAGTTGCACACATCTCGTCGTGGTCGTATTGTTTGTTGGCATTGCAACATGGAAACACGTGACCTTACAACTAAACTAAACACAATTGACATTTTATAACCAGAAATCTAAAAACAATACTTGCAATCAATGGTGAGACTTTTGCTTATCTTACACCATCCCTATGTTCTTTTCTCTTTTCTTTGATAAAGTGGAGAATTAAAACTCCATGGGCATTCGTGAGCCCAAATAAGCTTGATTGACCTTGATTCTAGTGCTGTACTGGTCGGTATTTTCACTTTCTGCCATGATGATAAGTACTATCAAAGTTGCCATCGTATGATGTAGTACAAAGGCATTTTCTGATTGAATGTGCATTTGCAATCAGCATGAGTAGAATAAAGTTTTTGTTTCTAGTTACGTTACAATCGGGCCAGTTTTTGAAGGGGTTTACTAGTTGATGAGAACAGCCGTTGCTATTGGAGTTGCCTGCATGGCTAGAAATCACATGTGACCGTGGCTATAAGGATACGAATGTTTTGTGACAATTTATCAATTAAAATTTCATCTACTTTACCATTTGAAAAATAATTGAGTCAAGACTTATATGATTAAGCATTTCTTGGAAATCATAGGCTTTACTTTCAATAAGATACTCAAATACAGGTATACCTCGCCTTACGTCGGTAATTGGTTCCAGGAGAGGTGACGTAAGTTGAATTTACTTGTCTCCGAATCTACTCGTCACTAGGCTAAACCATAAATTACCATTTCCGATTATGTATTTTATTTATTAATGCATTTTTAATAATATATGGTTAATAAGGATCTATTTTAAGCTTACAAACAAATAAATTTTAGTTTTTAATATAGTACAGAAAAAGTAATCTAAATTTACGAATGCATGTACTGTAAATGCAGTACATACTTGTAAATGTATACATTTTAATATGATTTTACTAGTAGCCCGGGATGCCCCCCTAGTGGGCATTCTTTACAAATTTCCATGAGGCACGGTTCCTTTGACTTTTTTGTTTCTATCAATATGTTCTACAGCTCCGTTAAAGTCCCAACGGTAAGATTTACCCTCTGAATGAAGAGATGGCGACCCCCCCAAACTGTAGTCCCCTGTGTGAACAGTAAAGTCAAAGGAACCATACCCCTACTTGTGAAACTTTGCGAGATATAAGCTGCTGAAAATTCACCTATGTCATTTCCGGTCACGTGACACTGTGGTCAAAAGGAAGCGTATCGCACAAAAAAAAACTAACGCGCGCTCACGCACACTCGGTGGTTCACTGATCCGCTTATTCTCGGGGTAAATTGTGGCAAACAGGCGGTCACGTGACATGTAGAATAATTTTCGGAGCAAGCACTACATCTTGGGAAGGGTCGCGCATAGGGGTATTGTTCATTAGACATTTATTGTTCGCACTGAGGGGCGGTTGCCACCTCTTCATTCGGTGGATAAATCTTACAGTCCCAATAGCATCATACAGATCTATATTTCTACCTATTAAACATTCTATAAATACTTTAAAATAGTTAATTTATTTATTTACCTTCGCCTGTAAACCTCGATTTTAAATGTATCTGCCATTTTTTCAACAAATTTCCCATGAGTCAATGCGCGACATTCACCGAGTCACAGGATGTCGTAAACGTGTGGTACAAGGTTAATTGAGGCATATAATAAGGCAAGGCATATAATAATTATTTATACCATTCTGTGGTATAAATAATAAATTCGTATCAATAATAAATTCCTATTACAAATAAAAATAATTTATTGTTAATTTAAAATCTTCGCTAGGGCGCCTCTAGTCTGTTATCATACCGTTACACGGACAGATGGATACACGTTGAATGGGTTATATATAATGGATACACGTTGCATGGGTGCTTTAAACACTTTTCTAGTGATATTACGACTTCAATATTTGTGGCGGACACACGTAAAGTCGAATAAAATGACTTAAACTTGATTTTTATTTTTCCATATACTTTTTTGACAAACAACGTATAATCGGGAACGACGTAAGTTGAGGTATACCTGTATAGCTGGATATTCCAAAGATGGCCATTCTCTCTTCATTATTCCATGATTTTATATTACTTAATTTTATAGTACTAATTAGTGAAAATTACTGTTTATCTGAAAATAAATTGAGAAATGCAAGCTTGTAAAAGAAACTGTGCAAAAATCCAAACATTTTGCATTGGACTTAATTCTGATATTCTGTAAATGTTTCGACTACTTTATGGAGTCAATATAAATATTTCCTGATAGATAATAACAGTGGAACATTAGTATAATTACAGAAGCCAATTTTGCCAATTATTTTCTAGAAATAAAAAAAATAGAATTTAGGTTTTTTTAAATTTTCATCAGTTTTAAATTAAAAGATATGTCCACCCTGCATGTAGCATGTTTTTTTTTTTTTCTTTACATTAGAAAAAATTTAAACTTGTGTAAAAACGATTGAAAATGCTTTCTTTATAGTTTAAAATATAAAACCCATACAATTAGTAACAAAGTGGGTGTTACGAATGAATTTCTATTTTTCTTAATGCGGCATCTCCTATCGAAGGTTGGCGATCCATATAGCTAACGTTGTCCTTGATATAGCAGCTCCAATATCTCCATAGATGTACGCCAGAACCACCTTGTGATGCCTTTCGACCATTGATTTTTTGGTCTTCCAATATACCTTTTTCCTTGTATTTTGCATTCTAATATTAGTCTAAGTATTTGATATTTCTCTCCTCATTATATGACCTATGTACTGTGTTTTCCTGATTTTGGTGGTCAGCAAGAGTTCTTTTTGCTTGTTCATGCAGTTCAGGACTTCAACATTAGTAATCCTTTGCACCCATGATATTTGAAGTATTCATCTGTACAAATACATATTCTATTAGTAATTTCAAAATCAATTATATTCTCAGTTGTGTAGTTCTGCAATTTTGTAGTTTTTGCATTATCTTAATGGTGGCACTAAAATACTTGAACCTTCTCTGGAAACTTTTATATAGTTAAATGTGTTAAGCCTTGCGATGCACATGCGGCAATGGAGGATGGAAACCATCGATGGAACCATAAAATGATGTCACTTTTGCTGTCGAAGGCGACAGAATACGAAGTTGAAAATTTTTAACTTTCGCCGTTGCGGAAAGTGGAATGGAAAAAATTAGACCAATAGGAAGGCCATTTATCAATGTCGTTGTAAAGATCACATGGGACAATAGCATTTGAACTATGGCAGTCGGCAAGCTAAAAAGCTTTATTTGTACACTAATATGCTAATATATTTCATTTATATGCTATATTACTATCCAATATAAATATTAATGTCAAATAGACTTACTGTGTAAAGTATTGGGAATGGGTAATCGTAATTCGGTGACGAAAGTATTGGATATTCCTAACTTTCGACAATTTAGAATATTTTTCCTATCCAAATTATTCATTTTTGAGGTTTTTAATTTACGATAAGATCAAGGGCAAACTTAAAAAGTTTAATTGATATAACAAAGCAATCCCGGTAGATGCTATTTTCAACTACTGGCAAGTAGCCTACCTACTGTAGTAGCTTTATATTTACGGCTGGCAGATGGCGCATTTTAATTGTAGGGTACACATGTGAGTACCAGGCTGTAGTCTTAGCAGTGATGCAAATCCTTATCATGTGCAACCTGGTAGTGGGCTGATTTTAGGATTCATATCTTGTCAAAGGTCACACACACAGGTATGGTTCCTTTGACTTTTTTGCTCTTGTGTGTACAGTCTATGACTCGATGAGGTCTGGGTATCTTTTGTA